TCATTTACTAGCTGCTGTGAGTGTTGAGAAAGGGAGGAAGAAGAAGAGTGACCAACTTGGGAGAAGATCTCAGCTGAGAGACATGAGCACTGTTAGGTGCTATTACTGTGAAAAGTTGGGTCACACGAAGAACGGTTGTCCAGAACTCAAGGAGGACTTGCAGATCCTAAAGGAGAAGAAGGGCAAATCGAAGGAAGCTTCTTTCGCAAATGTGATCACTTATGAAGATGATCTCCTCTGAAGATAAGAGTACTGCTGGACAGAAGATTCTGCAGGATGGGAGTATCGCTGCAGAAATCGCAAATGATGTAGGACTTTGAAATAAGGGGAGATTTGTTGAGTGTTACTTCAAAGTCCCACATCGGTGGGATAGGAAAATTGAGGAGGGATTGGAGCCTATAAATAAAGAGGGGATATAGGCTTCCATCACACAACACAATCCTTCAATCTATATAATTGTGTATTAGATTTTAGGTTGTGAGTGTCAAATATTGAAGAGGGTTTGTAATTTTTCCGTGCAAAAATTACTAGTGAGATTTTATCCCAGAGGGGGTCGTGGAGTAGGTCTTGAGGTGCCGAACCACGTTAAAAATTGTGTGCTCTTTTTTTTTCCTTTTCCTTCGATTTGTTTGGAGTGGGGGCCTAACAGTGTTGACACGTGGCAACTGATTTGGAGAGTGACATGGAAAATTTGACACGTGGTGGCTGATTTGGAGGATGACATGGGAAACTCATCTCATTTCTCAAAAAAAATCAAGAGGGAAAATGGCAAGAAAAAAAGAGAAAACCATCGGGGGCAGGGAGATGCATAAACGAGGGGAAATGGCGGCACAATATTTCCTAGCAGAACAAGCAATTCCAACCAAAAATCTAGAATTCCATCATCGCCGCCTAGCCTTCCCAAACTCCCAGCGCCGTTGCAGCCGTCCAATTTCCAACACTGCAGATTTCCAGCCGTTTCCCCTGATTAGGGTATGTACGATACCCTATTTTCTTCTCCTTAATATATTTCTCTTGAATTCCAAATTTTAGGGTTTTTGAAATTGAGAGTATTCAATTCTTTGCATTTTGGATTAATTATACTGTGTTGGTAATTAATTTGTTGGATAGTTGGATAACTGATGTTTCATAGGGAGTGAATGATGATTTTATATAATGATATATTATTATTATTAGAAATTGTCAATTTGAATATTGAAATTAACTGTGTAATATCCAAAGGAAAATGATATTAATCCAAGTAATAAATTTGAATATTGAATTTATTATATCTGTAATACCTAAAGTTTTCTGCTCGAATTCTTAAATCTAAGAATGCCTCTCAAAACTTGCATGCATTTTTCCATTTTTAAATATTCCCTTAACTTTTGTTGCAGATTTTTGACCAATTTGTAGTACTTTATTTGTTTTAGTACCAAATAGTGATGACTGGCAGACTCAGAACATCTTTTTCTTGCAAAACATATCCACCACTGATGCAAAGCTAAGGTTGCGTAAACATAAAAGATGGAATAAGCTGGTGTTAGCCTTATCTGCTGCGCCATTGGTGATCAAACGTAAGCCAAAAAGGAGGATGAGTTATCATTATGTTTTTTTCTTTTCAGATACTAAACTGATAATTGAATGGTTGGTCTAATAAAAACAATCTCTTGCTGTTTTTGATGTCGGTAATCAAAAGAATTAAGACAAAAAGAGGATGGGCTATCATTATGTTTTATTTTTATTTTTAGATGCTAAACAGATAATTGAATGATTGGTTTTACAAAATTAATCTCTAGCTGTTTACAAACGGGAAAGTTGCATAGGTGTGTTGACATTGAGATCCGAACATGATAATAATTATATAGGCTTTTGTTGGTGCCGTTGTCTTTTAATTATGTTATGCTTGGCTCCACTTTTCATGTTTGCTAGAACTAAAGAAGGTTTGGCATCTTAATGTAAATCTATACGAACATACCTTTTTGATTGACTAGGGACAATACTCTCATGCTTCTCTGTAATCAATCCTTTTTTAAACCAATTTCTATCACATAATTCACCACGTCTATATAAGTTGTCCCTTTTCTCACTGCCAGGATTCTTAAGAAGAGCATGTAACGCCACAAAATATGGCCTAAAATTTATTATAAAACAAAAGTAATTTCTGTCCAATAAGGAATATTTATACGTTTGACCAGAAATAAATGGATTTTCAAAATAATGACTTTTTGTTAAAAACTTATTTTTATGGATATGTCTCAAAAAGACGAATCCAACGGTACATTTTATGAACCAATCTGATTTATAGATTTCGAGTTATGACGATTTTTAAATATTAAAATTTTTAACTTTGACCCATAAAAATAAACTCAATTCAAAAAAGATTTCATAAAATTAGAAATCTTAATTTTTGACACTTGATAACATCATATTAATCATTTGGATTTAATTCGTATATTTTTATCTCATTCATCTTATTAAATTAACTTATGACTGAGACAGACCAGAGATTAAATAAAAATAAAAGTTCTCAGAAAAATATTCTGATTACATCAAAATTCTAGTTTTCACAGTCTCATTCCAAAAACACAATTCGTTTTCAATTCGGAACAGTTTGGGCGAAAAAGCGCGTACCATTTGGTATAAACTGTTCAGTTTGGACAAAGGTCCAAAACTAAATCCTAAAATATCCCCAAAATCTCGTAGCCTCCATCTCCCAAATCCTTAGCCACCCTAGGAAGAAATATGGACACCCACTAGCAAATAATTCATATCCTTCCTACATAAAACTCCACTATAACATCATCATCATCTTACACCATTCCACATCACCCATCATCTCTCCTCCTCACCATCCCTCCCTCTCTGTCGGCAGCAACTAAGGAGGAAGAAAACACAATTATGCTCCATGGTTTATGTTAAGGAAGAAGAAGAAGGAGCAAGAAAATCATCCAAAATTTCCAAGTTTTGAGTCCAAAAACACAGCAGTCCACTTTGAGGTAAAAACTGGAATTTTCCATCCACTATCTCGAAATAATTTCTGAACCAAAGTTATAGCCCCGGACGATACGAATCTAGCCCAACAAACGTCTCGCGATTTCGTTAAGTAACGAAGGAGATATGACCAAAATACCGGGACTGCGCTAGTGGTGGCGAGCTCCTCGGGTTGGCTATGTTTCTTCACCATATCCATGTTGTTTCATTGCAAACACTCACCATAAACTCTCTAACAATTATTAGAAACATCCGGAAGGTATCGTAGAGAAGGTTAGGTGTTGGAATATTGAAGTTAATGAGTTAATCGTCGGAATCGTGGTACATCGACATATCCGAAATCCTGGACAACAACTATCCTTTGACTTCAGGTCTGATTTACGCTATCTTACATCTGTTAACTCGAAATACTTTTTATATACAGAATCCACAAAATCAAACGGTTTGCAATTCCGTGAAGAAACGATGGAGATATGCCCAAAATACCACAGGCTGTCCATTTATGACGGAAATGACAAAGTTGGCGAATTTCGATGTTGTTTTCACTCCCGCTCATCCGTAAGGTTTCGGACGATGATTTCCAGGTCTGTACCTTGCGTTAGACTTGTCGAATCATTCATCACATACATACATGAACATATATATTAATCCATAGGTTGAAATCATTCCAAAATATATATGTGAAGCATATATATGTCATCTATGTGTTAAGACCAAAATACACCAAATTCATAAAGTTAATATATATACATAAGTATATATAAACATTTGAAATCAACCCAACAACATGTATATGTTAATCAAAGGTGTTTAAAAGACTTAAAGAAGTATTTTGAACACACAAAATATCAAGAGAAAGATTCACAGACCCAAACGGTCGATTGTCGTATTAAACTTCGAAACGGACCACGACTGCCAGCAGAACGTTCGACTGCCGTCGGCGAACGGTCGACCGCCGCCAGCCAGCCGAAGTCCGCCATCCGCAGCCAGTCAACAACGGTCGACCGCCGGTCAACCACGGTTGACTGTCACGGTGAACCGCCAATCTGACCTGATGAAGATCAAGGTCGACCGTCGCGCCAAATGGTCGACCGTTCCGAGCCCCGTAACTTATTTAAATGATATTTTAATCATGTTTCATCCAAATAAACTAATGCATGATTATATATTCATATTGTTTGCAAATTAATGTCATTCATTTCATCATTTATATTGTAGCATATCACATCATGTGCATGCGTAAGAGATCATGCGTAATTGCGTCTCTTATAGTGTGGTTGTGCGGGACTTAGTAGTCTGACAACCCTGACCGGGCTTAGTGTACGTACATGGTATTTATACTTTCGAGTACCACCCCTATTTTTCTAGTCTCCCTCGTGAGACTAAGAAGGACATGAGTTCGTCATACCAAATAGGCGAATCTCATAGTTGCAAGGTCATTCCTTGCTGACTAGAATCATACAACATGAAGTCATCATTAAGTAAAATCATCATGACTATAAATGACATCAAATTTATATTGTCATCATCATCTTGAACATACATGCTATATTATGAAATATCAAGAACAATTATACTGATTACATAGGCGTCATGTAATCATCATCAAGAACAATCAAATTGATCAAATTAATGTATCATCATCATTAAATATTTATCATCATGATTCATCAAATTGACCATATGATAATATGTGCCATATCATGAATATTATTATACATTTTATGGACACACACACACACACACACACATATATGTATGTATGTATGTATGTATGTATGTATGTATGTATGTATGTATGTATGTATGTATGTATGTATGTATGTATGTATGTATATGTATATGTATATATCTGTGAATCATTCACAATTCTAGCGTGGTACCACTCAGCGGTTTCGCTGAGCGTGTAGTTTGTATTTTTCGTTGACTACACGTAGGTAACAAGAAGACAATGATGAAACCACTCCCGGAGGGCATTGAGTCAGAGGAGATGCAAGGATGGCAGGAAAATGTTTGATCATCAGATTTTAAAATGTGTCATGATTTGATGATTATTGTACTTCTGCATTACTCTGAAAATATTTTTAAATGGGTCGCGATCCAGAGTCTGTAAATTTAATATTTATAAGAAATTATCATTTTCAAATGTCAAGCGAAATTTTTATTTAACCCTTGTTTCACCTTAATTCGTGTAATTCCGGGTTATACGGATTGGGGTGTTACAGAGCAAGACCATTAATTAGGTGCTCTTTTAACATGAGAAGTGCCTTGCTTCTTACCTTCAGAATTATGGGTAATACCATTTTGTTTCTCTTACGTGCTTTTTAAGGCAATTGAAAATTGATTTGTTTTTACGCTGGTCTTATTGCCCCCTTTAATACTTTACACCATAAGCCATGCCGTGTAGGAGAAACACCGAGGAAACAGAAGTGCAGATTACTTTAGAGGTGTTTGAGTTTGGTTTTTTAAGTTCAATGTATCTTAATATGTGATTGCGTCATAAATTAGTTTATAATTTAATAGGCCCTTTTTTGGACCAAGGTTTGATTTATGTTAGACTTGGAAAATGTAGGGTTATGAGGACAGTGACCATGCAATATGTGAAGGATCAAGCTGCGCAGTCAGCTTACACTTCTAACCACTTAGTGCCACCTGTCATTTCTAACTAATTTTCCTTGTTTTTTGGACTTTCTATTTGATTAGTTATGGTAGTTTATATAGCTAGTTTCTTCCTCCCCGTTAGGGCAGATTTTCAGAGACACATTTGAGCTTCAGTTTAATGGAATTTTCCTGTGTTTGTTTTACAATTTCATCTTCTCCAATGAAATTTAACATGGTATCAGAGCCTATCTTCAATGGCGTCTAGATTTCCGATTCTTCTAACGACTTGAAATTATATTATGTTCTTGTGCAATTGTTCGAGATATTCATGGTGACAGAGAATTCTTCCTCGCATATCCCAATCGACATAAAAAGTGAATTGTATCTGCATCCCACTGATTCACCAAATTTTTCGCTGGCATCATAGAAATTGAACGGCGAAAACTTTCCGCAATGGAAAAGATCTGCTGAAATTGCGTTGAGAGCCAGAAACAAGTTAGGTTTTGTTGATGGAAGCTCGAAATCACCAGATGTCTCTTCTCCTAACTTCGCACAATGGAATCATTGCAACAATTTGGCAATATCCTGGATTCTACACTCTGTTGAATCTGGAATTGCGAATAGTGTGTTATACTGTGAATCTGCCAAGGAAATATGGGAGGATCTTGATGATCGCTTTGGTCAAAGCAATGCACCAAAGCTATTTCAGCTGCACAAGGAAATAGTGACTCTGGTTCAAGGTTCTGATTCTGTCTCTGAATATTTCACCAAACTGAAAGGACTTTGGGACACATACTTAATGATGATAGTTCTACCACATTGCAAGTGTGAAGGAGCTGGAAATTACATTAAACTGCTTCAGAATCAACAATTAATGCAATTTCTAATGGGACTTAATGATAGCTTCAAAACTGCTAGAGGTAATATCATTATGATGAAGCCCCTTCCTACGTTGAGCCAAGCATACAAACTGATTGCTCAAGAAGAAACTCAAAGGGATTGCAGCAGCTCTAGTCCATTGAGCAGTGAGTCCAGTGCTTTGGCTTCCTTGAATCATGTTTCTGTTGGCTCTAACAAACCTGTGTTTGGAATTACTCCTAGTGGAAGGAAGTCCAAATACTTCTGTCAA